ATATATATAAAAAAAGATATATAAAACCTGGGCTCATAGTGGGTCTTCATGTAGCTCCTGGTTAGTGTCTAAGGCTCATCTAACCTAGAGATTCCCTTCCATGGATTTTTCCTTTGCGATTTGTAGGAGAGACTCGGTTATATGCCCAATAATTTCCCACATCCCAGATTCTGATAACTGCAGTGCCATGGCAGGGTTTAACATGCATTTCAAAAGATATATAAAACCTGGGCTCATAGTGGGTCTTCATGTAGCTCCTGGTTAGTGTCTAAGGCTCATCTAACCTAGAGATTCCCTTCCATGGATTTTTCCTTTGCGATTTGTAGGAGAGACTCGGTTATATGCCCAATAATTTCCCACATCCCAGATTCTGATAACTGCAGTGCCATGGCAGGGTTTAACATGCATTTCCTGTGTGTTGGCAGTCAGACCTAGGGTGAATGATGGGGAGATGAAGCTGGAGAGGAAATAGGACAGATCATCTAGAACTTTGTAGGGCACAAGAAAGACTGGCTCTCCCAGTCAAGTTGTAGTCGGGACAAAAATCTCTGTCAATAATTTTAACAGAAAAGCATTTAAGGCAAGGAAATGGCTGAACGTGTATCAGAGTACTGAAGAGGCAGAAGAGAACAAAGGCAATACAGTGAGAGAAAGTGCAGAAGAACAGAGAAGAGGTGGCTGATAAGAATCCAGAGATGTGGAGGATTCTCAGACCCCTGAGAAGAAAAGTTGACTGCTGGTGTCCCTGGTGGTGGTAGGGGAGCACGACAAGGCTGTCTGAGGACAGAGTATGGAAACTGGGATAATGTTCAAGTGAGGGAGAAAAGCAACTAAGGAGGATGCTGACAGAAACAGAAATCAAAATTGTAAAGAGTCAGTTCCTTTTCTTCTTTATGTTTTCTGGTCTTCTTTTAGGGCTTTCAATTTGCAGTTTATAGGGAGTTCAGCTGGCAAAAGAAAATGTGATTTTCAGAGTCGCAGCACCAGGATTCTATTCAATATGTTATTATAAACCTGCTACCAGAAAATTTCATTCTTTTTAGTGTACAGATGTATGAATTTGGACAAATCTGTCATGTGCTTGCCCTCACAATAAAGATTTACAACAGATCCATACTTCCCTACTTCTCTCGCTGTCAATTGCTCTCTTGACCTCCAGCCTCCACTGACAACTGTTATATTCTGTGTTCCTATGCTCTATCCTCTTCAGAATGCTATACAAATGGAATCAGTATGTAGTTTTGAGTCTGGCTTCTCTATAGCATAGCACATTTGAGATTTATCTGTGTCTTCCATATACCAGTAATTTGTTTCTTTTTATTGCTGAGTTGTGTAGGTTGAGAATTCATAATTTGAAAATCCAAAATCTGCAGTGGCCCAAAATTTGAAATGTTTTGAGTATCAATGGTGATATCAGAACAGTGGAAAATTCCACACCTGAACTCATGTGATTGCTATGAACTCACTAAAAATATTGCAGTTTTCTAGTGACTAATAGCATCTTTTCCTGATCTTATTTTCCATCTGTTTATCACGGTGTTGAAGCACCTGTTCAAAAGTTGCTAAACTTTTAATGTGTTGCTTGCTTTATCATTGTTGAGTTTTTTTTTCTTTGTGGTACCAGAGATCAAACTCAGGACCCTGTGCTTCTAAGGCAGGCACAGTACCACTGAGCTAAATCTCCAGCCCAATTGTAGAATTTTGAGTTCTTTAAATGGTGTGGATGCAAGATTATTATTAGATAAAAAATTTCAAAATATGCTCCCCATTTGTGGATTTTTTCCATTTCCACAGCACTATCTTTAATACAATAAGAGTTTTACATTTTTTATGAAACCCAATTCATCATTTAAAAAATTTTATGACTTGTGCCTTTGGTTCATATCTAAGAACTTTTTGCCTAACCTAAGTAAGGTCTCAAGGTCACAATGACTTTATTCTGTAGCTTCTCATTTAAGTCAAAACCCCCTTCCCTTATATGTAGACTTTGTGTTGTAATTTGCTTCTAACAAACAGAATGTGGCGGAGGCGATGGTAGATGACACCCAGTCTGAATGTATAAGGGATTATGGCATCCTCCTGGAATTCTCTCTTGGGTCACTTGCTCTTGTGGCAGCTGGTTGACTTTGAGGACACTCACACAGCCACATGAGAGGTCTACAGAGCAGGGAACTGGCATCCTGACAACGGCTGTACACCTGAGGTTATCACTGGGTCTTCCAGTGGACCTTCAGGTCATTGCAGACCCTGGGCAATGACCACCAGCTAAGCCACTTTTAAATTCCTGAAACATAGAAACTAAAAAAATTTCTTGTTTTAAGCCACTACGTTTTAGGGTGACTTATTATATATCAGTAAGTGATGCAGCCTTTCAACATGACTTTAAGTAACATGTTTTAGCAGTTTTACTTTGTCAGGTGAAGAGCATTACTTTTTATTCCCTATATGCTAAGAAGTTTTTTTTTGTTTTGTTTTTATCATGGATAATTATTGAATTTTTGAAAAATTTCTGCATTTATTGATATGATCATGATTTTTAAAAATTTGGTAAACTACTTTAATTGATTTTCAAATTGTTGAAACAACTTTGCATTTCCAGGGTAAAGTTCATTTCATTGTCATGTGTTTTTTTTCTCTTTCTCTCTCTAAAATATATTATATGTATATATACTATAGAACATATGTAATATATCATATATACATACTATATCAAACTAAGTCATGTATCGAAGACACTTGCTAATAAATTTATTAGAGGATTTTTTTTTGCTTATGTTTGAGGAGAACTTTAGTGTGTGCTTTTAATGTTTTTGTTTTGATGTCAGGTTCTCATACAATTAGTTGTTTCTTCTTCTTTTCTATTTGTAAGTGAGCAGTTAAAATTGGTATTATTCCTACCCAAAAGTTTGGAATAATTTACCACTACAGCTTCCTGGGCTTGGAATTTTCTTTATTGAAAAGCTTTAAACTAATAAATGTACTATTTAGAAATAAATGGATTGCAGTTTCCCCCTCATTCTGTGAGTTATCGTTTCACTTTCGTGATAGGGCCCATTGAAACAAAAAGTTTTAAGTTTTGATGAAGTCAAGTGTATGTAGTTTGTTCTGGGAAAGGATGCTTTTACTTCAGGTGCTGTACTTAAGAATCTATTACTTAATCCAAAGTCACAAAGGTTTGCCTGCAATTTCTTCTAAAAGTTTTACAGTTTTAGCCCTTACATTATTTAGGTCTCTGATTTGTTTTCAACTGATTTTTGTTTATGTTGTGAGGTCGAGGTGCAAATTCTTCTTTTGCATGTGGATGTCTATTTGTCTCAGCACAATTTACTAAAATGTTTATTCTTTTCTGCAATGGATTGTTATGGAAACTTTAAAAAAAATCAATAGACCAGAGATGTTTAAATTTAGTTCTGGACTCTCTATTTTATTCCATTGACATTTATGATTATCCCCAACTACTGATGAACATTTTAAGTTAATATAGCTTTGTAGCAAGCTTCAAAATGGAGAGAAGTGAGTCCTCCAACTTTGTTATTTTCTTTTTAAGATTGTCTTGGCTACTCTGAGTCTCTTCTATTTCCATATTAATTTTGCAATCAGGTTATCTATTTTGCTGAAGAAGCCAGAATTTTGAAAGGGATTATACTGAATTTATAGATCAATGTAAGGAGTATTGCCATCTTAACAGTATTCCAATTTACGGGCCCATGATTTCTTTTTATTTAGTTAATACTGCGGTTTATGTGAGATTTGTCTCCTAAGGGTGCATGTGTTGGAAATTTCGTCCCTGATGTGACGGTATTTGTGGAACTTCTAAGAGGTGAAGCTTAGTGGGAAATCCTTAAGGTCCTTGTCCTCAGAAGGGTTTATTTTGGCTCACAATTTATCGAGGTTTCAATCTATAGCAGCTGTCTCCAAGGAAGGACATTATGGCAAAAGTACATGGTAAAGAAGCTCCTTAATGATTTAGCAGCTGGAGAGAGGGAAGGGAGGAACCAGGGAGGGCGATATGCCTTCCAGGCCTTGCTTCCAGTGACCTACCTCATTTGATTAGGCTCTTTTCCCCAACATCACATTTAGCTATATACTCATTATCCACTGATAATTGCCATACCCCTAAATAATTACCATACCTCCCTAAAGCACTACCTATGAGCTCCTGAAGCTTTGGGGGCCCTTTAGATGTAAACTATAATAGTTCATCATTATTTGTATGACTGTACCAGTATGTTTTGAATATTCCTGTGATTTCATCTTTTACACATTTATTATGCAGGGCTGTGTGTTTAATTTCTACATGCTTGATTCCCCAAATTTCCTTGATTTTCAATTCCATTCCACTGTGGTCAGAGAATATACAATGTATGATTCCCATCCTTTAAAAATTATTGGTACTTATTTTTTGGTATAATATGTCTTCTATCCTGAAGGATGCATTATGTTCACCTATGAAAAGTATGTACTCTGCTATTGCTGGGTGGAGCATTCTATAAATGTTTGTTAAATATATTTGATTATAGTATTGTTCACATATTCTATATCCTTGACCATTTGTTGAGATTTTTCTATCCATTATTGAGAATTGGTATTGAAGGCTAACTATTATAGTTGAATTGTCTACTTTCCTTAAATTTTATCTGTATTTTGGGTCTGTCTTATGAAGTGTGTGTAGGTAAAATTGTTATATATATATCTGATAGATCAGCTCTTCATTTTTAATAACAGCTCTTTTCTTTAAATCTGTTTTGTTTGATATTAATATAGTCATTATATCTTTCTTCTGTATTATATTTATATATATATATATATGTATGTATATCTTTAACTTTCAACATAGTCTTTGAATTTAATATGTATCTTAGAGGTAGCATGCAAGTGAGTAATGTGTTTTTTTTCCATTCGTTTATAATATGCAGTTTGATTCAGTGTTTAGT